AGTGAATTCTTTTTATGTACTGACATAATAAAAATATAATTATTTTATGTCCCGACATAAAATTAAATGCTTATGCATAGAAAGAGGTACTAAAAAACACGAATTATAATTATGTAACGACATAATTATAATGATTAGAAATTGTTCTTTAGAAAAAATAAAAACATTTTTATTATCTTGTTACATAATTATAATGAATACAATTCAATTATGATTAACGATAAAATATATTTTTTTCATTATAAATAGCATAATAAAAAATATTAAAAATGTATCTGCATAAAAAAAATGGATTAATTTTATTTAAAATAGTTTAAAAATTTTTGCAAAATTTTTATTATGGTTAATCATAATAAAAATTCACAGAATTTAGTAAAAAGTGAAATCATAATGAATACTTTAAAAAAATTTATGACACTACATAACTAAAATTCAAACAATTTTTATTATGTCCCACCATAATTAATTATACCGATAACGAATTTTAATTATCTAGTAACATAAATTTAATTTAAAGTTTTTATCCTAAAAATCAATAACATAATAATAATACATAAAAATGATCTTGTAACATAATGATATTAAGCAATTAATATTATCTCATTACATAATGTAAATTCAAACATTTCCATTATGTACATAATTTTAATTCTGAATTACTATTATGTACATAATTTTAATTGTAACATTTTTATTATATACATAATATTAATTCTGAATTACTATTATGTACATAATTTTAATTCTGAATTATTATTATGTACATAATTTTAATTATAACATTTTTATTATGTACATAATTTTAATTCAGAATTTTTATTATGTACATAATTTGAACCCTTTAATGTTCGGCATTGAATCCCCACTCTTTATTCAAGTCTTATGTCTTTTTCTTTAAGTGAGAGAGCTATAGTCTTTTTCCTAGAGAGGGGGCCAGAATAGTAGTAGAGAGGGACGCATGGACACACTACTACAACTAAACCGTCTCTCATACAACCGCATAAGGGACTATGATTGGCTCTCTCCCCTAACAGCTCACACTAAGATTCTTAGCGCTTCCAGAACATTAAAGGGTTAATTCTGAATTTCTATTATGTACATAATTTAAATTATAACATTTTTATTATGTACATAATTTTAATTATAACATTTTTATTATGTACATAATTTTAATTCTGAATTACTATTATGTACATAATTTTAATTCTGAATTATTATTATGTACATAATTTTAATTCTGAATTATTATTATGTACATAATTTTAATTCTGAATTTCTATTATGTACATAATTTTAATTATAACATTTTTATTATGTACATAATTTTAATTCCGAATTATTATTATTTACATAATTTTAATTATAACATTTTTATTATGTACATAATTTTAATTCTGAATTACTATTATGTACATAATTTTGATTCTGAATTACTATTATGTACATAATTTTAATTCTAAATTATTATTATGTACATAATTTTAATTTTAACATTTTTATTATGTACATAATTTTAATTCTGAATTACTATTATGTACATAATTTTAATTCTGAATTTTCATTATGTACATAATTTTAATTCCGAATTTCTATTATGGGGATAATTTTAATTCTTATTTGTATAAAATTTTAGATTAAAAGAAATTAAAATGTTATAAATAATTACTCCAAAAATATAAATCTACAAGAGCCAATTTAATTTATGTCACTACATAAAAAAAATTGTTAGTCAAAATTATGCCCTCACATAATTATTAAACTCTTATTTTTAATTATCATGACACATAATAAAAATATTCTTTTTGTCATCAGCTCAACTCAGAATTTTAATTCGTTGATATATTATTATGTCCCTACATAATAATTATTCTGTAAAAAATTTAAGTATAAACATAAAATTAATCTATTATATTTTTATTATGTGTTAACATAAAATATGCATTTTTCTTTTTAGTTATTAATTTTGAGATCATTTTTTTCTTTCTATTAAATAGTAAAACGGCGTGCCATAATTTTCATCATTTTTACGGTTTTTCGAAGTTTTCTCAAAATTTCGAGGCTGTAGAGGTTAAACTGACCTCGAATTCGGATTTAACAGACTAAAATACGTACCCGTAGTTAGGTCCGGTCAAATGCACATTCTACTTAATTTTTTTTGTGTGCTGGTGTTATTTTTATTTTAACTTCCGACATTGAAAAGTTAGTTCTCAGACACCTCTAGAGAATGCTCACCAAATTTAAGCTCTTAATATTGGTAGGTAGCTTATGCTCATCACAGTTTTACATTTTTTGTTAGCCTTCTATGAAATAGATCATATTTCACTATTAATCAATTTTTTAATTAAATCTTTATACATGTTTTTGTAGAAAATTGAGTGATCTTCAAAAAATATCTAAAATATGTAAGCGATTACATTAACCATTTCAAAGATATCCGAGGTCTCTGTGGAGATTTGTGTGGGTTATGAGAATTTGCTGCAGTTAATCTTGGTTTACGTTGCGTTCACTAGGCCGAGGCTTTTGTAGCCAGTTGTTGTGACGAGCCCTCGTGCACAGCGCGTTCCTTGTACGAGGTGACTCGTCGGGTGGTTAGGTATCGGTTTTGGCACTGGATAGCTGCCAGTTAGGCTATAGACGACCTCTGTCACACAGTACGTTCCTTGTGCAGAGTGAATTTTGGATCTGGTTAGCCGACAGTTAGGCTATAGTTTTAAGTGAGTTAGTGTATGTGCGAGTGCACAATTGTTAAATAATTTTGTTGTTAAATAAATACCGGTGTATTGTTAAATAAAAATTTATTTCTTCAGATCACCTTCCTCACTCTCTCTCCCTGTAAATATTAAGCTCAGCTTTGGTTGCAGTTCCAGGACCCGTGTTACAAAATCCTGGTGGCGCTCTTTATTTATTCATTTAGAGTCATTTTATTTAAGTTAGTATTTTCAATTAATTTAATTAAGGGACTAAACGAGTAGATGAACAAACTGTTACAAATTAATTGTTGATTAAAATATCTCCTGATTAAAAAAAAAAAAACAATATTGATTATTATATTAGTCATAAACGAAAAGTATTATGGTTTTCTATTTAAGACTATGATAAAAATACAATACTTGTTGTAAGCCATAAACTCTTCTGAAAAGTCTTGAAATGATGGATCTCTGTTGATTGCATATAGTCTGATTAATTTTTTATGATTTACTTCACTTTGAAATATACTTACTAAAAATTTCTCATTTACCTGTCTTTCTATACACTTTGGGTTCTTTTAATGAAATTAAAATAATAAAATATAGTCAGCACTTTTTCATCGTTGACTAGTAAAAAATCCCTGACTTACCGACATTATACGCTCGATTCACTTACAGACCACAGTGCATTTACCACCGAGTTACGGTTTTATGACAATATACGATTTTTACTTCGGTTAAAAATTGGGGAAACCAAGTAAAAATTTGTTTGTTTGAAGAGTAGTACGAATGAAGAATATTTGGTTCGGCTTTCGCCTACCTCCGAAGAGGCTGATACCTGGGCTCAGAAGAGTTATACTTGCACGTATATTTGTTCTACCCTCACGCAACAAAAATACAGCCAAGTTTACGGGCAAGGAAAAACCCTGCCTTCAAGCTTTTACGCTATCATTGGACAGATGTGAATGAAATTGACATTAATGTCGATCTGCCCTCGTACTCAGTCAACTATATAAGACCCATTCAACGACTGCGTTAGCCTGATCGGTAATATAATAACAACCCGACCAGAGATCAGCAGGGTCCATGCGGGGAGGTGCAGCCGTAAGACCTGTTTGAGCCATAATACTTATCCTTCTTCTAAGAGTTCGTTCGTGTGTATCTGTCTAATTTAATCCCCAAATCTTTGAGCTTACCTGCGTTGCCAAATAATTTGACAGCGTCACGAGGCCTAGCTTGGTGAGAGCCTTCGCAGCGGTAGCTGCTAGTTTCAGTGACATGATTTAACATCACACCACCTACTCGTGGTGGGACCCACGGAGAGGCCGTTACTTGCTTAACTGTGATGATCTCCAAAATTTAAACGTATTGCTTTCGCAACACGCAAAAAAATCAGAGATCTCTTTTTCGCCGGCTCGCTACTGCCTTAAGAATCACAGTCACTCCCGCCAATATGAATAGAGTATGTTAACTATACGGAATAAAAATCATAAAGTAACAGTGAAAAACTTTCACAACGATACTCGTCGTTCACTGTCAAACGACGGCCGTTTGATAGTCAAGTGACGGTCATTCGACGGTCATTTGTCGACACTGTGAATTTACGGTGTATGCCGTGTACAGCTTATACCGTACGATATATACCGTGTATGAAGGGTAGAGGTACCTCTACTCTCCACAATGCCGTGTACAGCGTATACCGTCTGGTATATACCGTGTACGGTTTATACCCCGTACGATTTATACCGTGTAAGGTTTATACCGTACTGTATATACCGTAGGGTGATTCAAAAAAAATCTTTAATTTTTTTTTTTAACTGATACCCTCTCAAATGTTTCTAATTGATAAAAAAAAAATTCTCACCAAACCCGAGCTCTATAGCTCAACTCTAAGGGGTCGCTATAGTTTTTTTAGTTTCCCATTTAATTAACATGGGAAAAATCGTTTTTTGTTTTAAATTGAATTTACACATAATTAACGCAATTTTTTATAAAAAATGATTTTATATTCTTAAAGTAGAGTCTTCGTGCTTTACAAAACTCTATTACAAAGTACGATTATTCTTACATAAAGACTAATTACAGCTATTTAAAAATTACTAAATTTCGAAATTTGAAGAATGCTTGGAATTATTTTTTTTTTTTGCACAATCCTCAAAATTTTTACTTAAACTATTAGTAAGCATTGAATTTATATATATTACAAATTTTGAAAATGGTTTTCAGTACGTAGTGTAGGTGGCAGCACACATGATATCAATAAGATAAATGAATTAAATGTATGATTACAAGTAATCATGGATTATAATTTTGTCACATATTTTTCTATATTAATAATCTAAATAAAAAATTGAACATGTTCATTCTAGTTAATAGTGTTCTATTAATGATAATTAGAGTACAATGTAGCAGTTAAGAAAAATACGCCTTTCTGATATATACGCTATTAATTTGAATTATTCTGCATTGGCAAGTGCTGTTTTAGTACAGTTTGGGAATTTTAGCCTGTGATGTTGAATTAATTGGAGTAAAAATTGTTTTTGCTCTTCGTTTCTCGTTAAAGAACGATTGTAAGCAATAATAGAGCTACACCTCGCTCCGCTACATCATTGACGACTTTTAAACTTTTCAAAATTTTTTTACTTTAAATGTAATCTTGATTTGTTTCCCACAAATCTAGGTGAATATAAAAGAACCCATACGACAATTGGAGATGTTTAAAAAGAAAAAGAGACTCCTCACTAAGGAGAAGACATCCATTAATTACGTGAGCTCAGAATGAGGGGGGAAGGGTCCAATGAAATCTCACCAAATCTCATCTAAGCCGAGGGGGGGATAATCAAAAATCTCACCTCAACTTCAAAAAATAAAAAATATTACAGACATTAAAAAAAAAATTATTTTGAGTGTTTATTTTGCCCGCTAAAATAAATTTTATGTCTATTAAAATCATTTACGCTGATGATTTAAACAAGCTCTTCTCAGAGCTAATGGTGGATTTCTTTAACATTATAATTATAATATAAATTATAATATGTATGTATAAAAAAAGTACATGAGTCTCCATGGATTGAGTAAAAATTTTAAAAAAGTTTTGTTTTTATGTTTTTTAGTAGATTTCATAGAAATCTAACTATTGCATTGGTCCTCATGACAGAACTTTTAAAAAATTTTGCTATATTTCGACTATACTCGTCGAGCTGAGTCAGAAAATGCATATGGTTCAAAAGTTTATATATGTATGTATATTTATATATATATCGGATATAACGCGGCTTGTCACGACGATAGCGTCTCACGTAAGGGGAGGGGGGGAGGGTCCAGACAAATCTCACTAAATCTCACCTAAGGGGGGGAGGAGTCTAAACTGATCGAAAAATAGCTCACGTAATTAATGGATGTCCCCTAATGAAATCACTTAGATCTTTTTGAACTAATGTATCCAGATCACTCTCTTTCATGTTAAATCTTATTTCCCGCGTGTTATCACTTTTTTTATGTTTAATAGCGTTTATCATTTTCAATTTGATCTCTACTGTTATTCTTTCATCAATAAAAGATAAACCAATCAAGTGTTCTGACAGATACCAAAAATGAAATTTTAATTTTTCAAGAGCAGCCTTCGCAACGTTTAACTGGACGTGCTTGCATTCTATGAGAGATTGTAGTAACTTTAAGTCATTATATGGTGCACCAATAGCAGAAGGAGCTTCGAACCAAGCTTTAATGTAGAAAATCACTATAAAAATGGAGATTTCACAAACACTAACAATATCTTTTCTTGATAACAAAAATTGATTTTGGAACATGAATATTTTAAGAATGTAGATGGCTTTTGCATGCCATCTCGCATGATGCATGGCTCAGGAAGTTTAAATTTTATTCCTTTAGGTGGTGTACCACCTAAAAATATGTATGCTAACTCCAGCAGTTCTTGATTGTCATCTCTAGGATGAAATATCTGAGAAAAAAATATCAAATTAATATTATAATTGATAAATAACTAATTTCAATTTATTTGAACTTTTATTAATTACTTGTAGCTGATCCAATATGTACTGTTTAATTTCTTCAACTCTTTCACCTAAAACTTCAACAACTCTAGCATCCTGTAAGCCAATTTTGTAATTTGACTTGTCAATTAAACGCCATTCTTTTTGAAATCTTTTAAAAATCAGAACCTCTAGCCCTCTCGTGACTGGCCAAGAAACTTTGAATACGATTTTAAGAATTATTTCAAACACATGATGGCGACAAGCAAAATGCAAAAGATTTCTCTCTAACATTTTTTCTATTATCACAACGCAGGTTAATAGTTATCACAACTATTTTTAAGACCTTAAAATATGAAAAAAAAAATCAATATAATTGTCAAATCATTTTATGCAATTTCTATTAAATAATCTGTTTAAAAATTATATCTTCAAAAATATGAATAGTTAAGAAAATACAGTACAATTTAACAATATTATTTTTTAAATTACTTTAAAAAGTACCTAAACTATATATAGTGTAATTTGTGCTGCAATTTTAAAATAAATTATTCAAATGTTTAATATTACGGTGAACTTTAAATTTTCTGATAATTATGAATCTTACTTTTGAAATTACGGTCAAATAATTGATCCTAAAAAAAGGACATAAATATCGTTTTTTATAATATTAAATTTTGAACTTTTGTTTAAAAAAAATTTTTATAGGACCAATATTTTTGGCATAATATAAAAAATTCAACCATTTATTTTAAATTTGTTAAAATCTTGGCGCTATAAAAAAAAATTAAAAAATCCAAATTTCCCTTATTAATAATAATAATCCTTCACATAGTAACTACAAATTACTAGACTAAAACATAACAAAATATCCACGAAAAAAAAAACTCACATTATCAGGATGAATTGTAGCCCTGACACCCAACTTGGTAAGCCCAGCAGTAGCCAAAAGATCCAGCAATTTAACTAAAGCCGTGCAAGTTGCCCTAGCAATATTCTCCGACAGCTTATTAATATCCACCGGATCATGAACTCCATTAGGATGATCATCAGACTTGATAATAAAGACCTCAGTCCACCTGATGAACCTGCTAGTGCCCATATAATCAGTGCCATTGTGAACCCTGATCGACGGAACACCATCCATGGCTTTTCCATCAATCGGACTCTTAACCCCAAGATTAAACTGCACATCATTGTCCACCCACTTAATATTAACAGTCTCATCAGGTTCAGGCGCGCCTTGACGTCCGCAGCCGATAGAAAAATCATGCATATTTTTCAGAGCGGCTTTCAGCGCTTCCATTTTCTCGGGCATGATCTGGACCATCAGTCCGTCTTCTACGATGCTGGACTTGGCAGATAAACCCATGGAAGACTTCAAGGCTCCGTTGACCACGACAAAGCTGGCCCCAGTGACTCTTCTGGGTTTATTGTGGATGTTTATCGCTTGGGTTTGATAATTGCTCTCATCACCGGTGTTAGTTTGGATGCAGACCAAATGAGAGTCCGCGTGGATGCTGAAGTTCGCCGCGAAAGCAAGGACATGGTCATTAGAATTGTTCAAGCCTTTGATCACTTGGTCATAGCGGTTCCTTGGTAGCAAAACGTCGGTAGTTCTGTCCTGCATGTGGATGGTCAGTCCTCGGACACTGGGCAGCGTGTAAGCGTAGTTCCGGAAGTCCGCGAGGACTTTCATTATAGTGTGTCCGATTTCGAAGTAAACTGCGTCCCGGAACCTGACAGACACCAGCGGACATGGGTAGTACCGGTACTCTGCTCCAAGACGCAGCACCAGGCGCAAAGGAAACACTTTTGCCCAGGGTGTCTCCCATCTGTGGACCAGCAGCGCTACTAAGAACGGCGCCGGGGGTAGTACTATCTTCTGCAAGCACTGGAAAGTCTGTCGGATGAACAGGAAGCCAGCGTGCTCGCGAGAGCCTAGGAGATTCCCTCCTTGGTGGATAGACACTCCGAGCTCGGTTACAGTGTTCCCTTTTATCGCCTCGGTGTACAGTTGGTTGATGTGGATCAGCAGGTCTTTGGGGATCAGAGACTCTTCTGGTAAGGTTTCTATTAGGAAGATTACTTCGTCTTGGCCTACGCAGGCGAGACCTCGGGAGGTCACGTTCCAGCAGATTTTGTTCACACAGCAGTTTAAGTTTGTTATTTTTACGTAGGCGTAAAGGTTGCGGTTTATTGCGAACATCACTGGAGGCTCGCTTTCGTTTTTTAGGGATTGGTACAGGCCTGATGTGTCGATTACTTCGTGGTACATTATTTCTGGAAAAGTAAATAGGGGGTTAGGGTTTTAGATTTTTAGAGGCAAGAATTACAAATTTTAAGGACTCAAATAGTTTTTAATTATTTAACAAATTTTTTTAATTTGTTGATGAAAAACTAGATACCTTGCAGTCACTATGTGAACTATAAATGAATTTTGCTTTATTGAATAATGACTTTTGTTAAATTGCACTGTACTTTTTTTAATATTGCTGCTTTTAAAGATATAAGCTCATCTTGATAATATACTCATCAAGAGCTTTCATTTGAGTACCCACATGCATTTTTCATATATTTTTTATATATTTATATATATTATATATATAAATATATGAAAAATTGATGTGGGTACTCAAATGAAAGGTCTTGATGATTGTAATGTCAGAGTGAGCTTATATCGTTAAAAATATCATCAGTAAACAAAATACAACGTCATTGCTTTATTACTTACATTTTTAAAAATATAAGCTCATCCTGATGTTACACTCATCAATAGCTTTCATTTGAGTACCCACATGCATTTTTTTTATATATTTTTCATATATAAATATATATAGTATATATAAATATATAAAATATTTGAAAAATTGATGTGGGTACTCAAATGAAAGGTCTTGATGAGTGAAACTCCAGAATGAGTTTATATCGTTAAAAATGTCATCAGTGAACAAAATACAACGTCATCGCTTCATTATTCACATTTTTTAAGATATAAGCTCATCCTAATGTTACACTCATCAAAAGCTTTCATTTGAGTACCTACATGCATTTTGATATATTTTTCACATATACATATATATATAAAATATATGAATATATATAAAAAGGCATGTGGGTACTCAAATGAAAGGTCTTGATGAGTGTAACATCTGGATGAGTTTATATCTTTAAAAATGTCAATAGTTCACGAGATACAAGATCATTTTTTTAATTATCTATTTAGAGATAGAGTATTTTCAAATGCAGCCTATTTAATTTTTTGTGTATAAACTTCAATATATATACATTATAAAACTGAAAGTGTATAATCTATAAATTCTAAATGTTTATAGTCCCTTAATATTTTTTTAACAATCCTCGTGTTATAGTAAAGCAATAAAAGAAAAAAAACTTACGGCCTTTGTGGATGGTAACAGTCGGCGGTAACATATTAACATCCTGAGGAATGTAACTATTGGTATGAGGATCCAAGGGTGGCAAATTTTGTCTCTTAGCAGTCGCAGAAGTAGACTGAGCACCAGGTGAAGGTATTCGCTTGTTTCCAACTTTTCGATAGGGCGGCTTCAAGTCCCACGAAGCATCTAGCTCTGTCAGGTCACATCCAGGCCTTATTCCTGTGTTTATACGTAGTTGCCCGGGTGAAAATAAAAACAGTTGGGATACAGGAACGGGCCATAAAAAGCAAAGGAACAGGTTGTTGTAAAATTATAAATTTATAATTTATAAATAAAATAATAAATAATAAATAACAACATTAATTTAAAATCGTCTGTCGTAGGACAAATTAAAAGCAAAATAAAATATAAATCACGGGCCTTGCAGGATTTTGCGCTTATTTTTTATTTTATTCTAAGTACTATTTTATTTTATTTTATTTTATTTTATTTTATTTATAGTGTAAGTGTAACTGGTTGCTTGTCAGCTTACCGTCACTGAACATCACAGACTTTGGTCCTTCTGGACGCTGCTTAGTGCTGCCTTCACGTTTCAAAACTCCAACTGGAACCATTACGGACGGCGGTGATGGCAATCCACCCGCTAACTGTTGCAAAGGAGGTATTGTTGAACAATATTCCATTGGATTATTCGGGTTCGGCTGTCTTCCCTGTAACCATTTGTCGAATACTCCAAAATAATACTACCGTTTTTTTATTATTATTTTTTATTACACTGTTAATAAAAATTTTTTAGTGAATTTTTTTTCAAAATTTTAATTTTCCTCAGTTTATTTTACTTCGGGAGGATTAAATTAGTGAAGATAAAAATTCAATAAAAATTTTTAGTGTATTTTAATTTATCACTATTTAAAGCAAATGCAATAAACAATACAGCAATTTTATAGGACGATTTAAACAAACAAAAGTAAAATAAATAACATGCGGATGTATTCAACAAGTTGGTACAGACGAAAAGAACCATCAACTGAAGAATTATTTCTATAATAGTATTTTTATAATAGTAAATAGTATTTTTTTTTTTTTTTAAAATATTCTCATTATATTTATTGTTTTAAATTACCTAGATAGTAAAATTTCAATTAATGTTTGATCATTTATAAAAACTGTCGATTTTTTTTTCTTGGAAAGTGAAAAAATTTAATTAACGCTTGAACGATACTTTCACTTTAACAATCAGTTTTTTATACGATATTTCATGCTTAAGATTTTAAAGAAAAAAAAATATGAGAATATTTTTTAAAAAATTTGAGAAATTAAAAGTTTGAAAATTATTATTAAAAAATCATTCTGGTTTGTAACTTTTGGAAAAATTTTTTTTTTCGCATTTTTCGAAAGTACATACACTGAAAAAAAAAATTCTTGACTGAAGTGTAAATTTTAATTAAAGAAGATTGAAAATTTCTTGAATGAAGTCAAAGTTTCGAATTTTACAGTTTTTTTTTTTTTTGTAATTCTCCGCCAGTTTTTTATTTGTCAATAAATATTAATCTTTGCAGCTGATGCAATAGCTGCTTATATATTGAAGGTAAATAATTTTTGTTTTTTAGATGAGCCGTTATCAAGTTATCATGTTTGTTAGCGACATTCCAACAGTTTGTCAGAGCTCCATTCACCCATTGTTTATTTATATAAAAAATATAAAAAAAAATAAAGTTGAATATTTTTTTGGGTTATTCAAAAGTGTATGGGTTAAGCTGAATAAATTTTATGTTAATCGGGTTTTAAAAAATCGGGTTTTTTTTTTTGAAATTTACATGTATCTTGTGAACTATTGACATTTTCAAAGATATAAGCTCACCCCGATATTACACTCACCGAGACCTTTCATTTGAGTACCCACATCAATTTTTCATATATTTATATATATCATATACATGAATATATGAAAAATATATCAAAAATGTATGTGGGTACTCAAATGAAAGCTCTTGATGAGTGTAACATCAGGATGAGCTTATTTCTTGAAAAATGTCAATAATAAAGCAATGACGTTGTATTTTGTCCACTGATGATATTTTTAACGATATAAGCTCATCCTGGAGTTACACTCATCGAGACTTTTCATTTGAGTACTCACATCAATTTTTCATATATTTTATATATTTATATATATCGTATATATGTATATATGAAAAATATATCAAAAATGCATGTGGGTACTCAAATGAAAGCTCTTGATGAGTATAACATCAGGATGAGCTTATATCTTTAAAAACTTCAATATTTAAGAAAGTACAGTGCAATTTAACAAAAGTCATTATTTAATAAACCAAAATTTTTTTATTCATAGTTCACTAATCAAGGCAGTCACGTAGTGACTGCAACGTTGCTAGTCTCTACAATAGTTTCTGCGTAAAAAAATAATTATTTGCTTGTTTTCAAGCGTAAAAACCAGAATGATCCCTTAAGATAGATATAATAGTAGTTAAAGCTTTATAAAAATCAAACTAATTAAATTTAAATTCAAAACCAAAAAAAAAAAAATTAATTAAAAAAATATTAAATTTACCTGCGGCGAATTCATACTACCGGGATTACTTGTATAGTCACCAGACCAATCACCACTGCCATGATCGCTCTCCGCTAAAAAGTAATAAAAATAATAGAATTAAAAGCTCGTTAAATGAATAAAAATAATAATTAAAACTAGCTAATATAATGTATGTAAACTCACTTCTGATAAGCTGAAGATAACACGTAGAACAAACTCGTGACTCAATATTTTTTTGATACTCAAGTCTGTACTTCAAATTACAGCACTTGTTGCACAATACCTGATCAACAATGTAATGTAACCAAACAATAAATTTTCCGTCGTGTTATTTACTGAAATAAACAATAAATAAATAATAAGACTATTTAAATACATACTTTACCACAGGCACGACAATGATGCCGTCGCTTGATGACAGTAAAGCGCATATCGCACATCATACAATTGGGTGCTTCGCTGTCTGGCACCCAGAAAGGCGGCTGTTTTCCCAGCATTATTCCAAACTCCATTGATGAGCTATCAGAAACGTCTGGCGATGGATCTCGCTCTCTCCCAGACTCTTCATTTGTGCTCGGTGCCGCTGGTACTGTCGTAGTAGCACTCGGATCCTCGGTGTTAGTAACACCTGGTAAACAAAAGTCTGTTATATTATAAATTGTAAAGTATATCATAACGGCCCAGCAGCCATGACGGCCCGCAATGACTGTACTCTTTATTGAATTGCATGCCTTAGTTAGCTCGTTAATTAAGTAAATAACCCAAGTCACGCATCACGAAGTTTATCCTTCCAGATTTTTATCTGGTAATTTTATGTCAATAAACAAATTTTTTTTAATTGAAATTTTTGTGAACAAAATTATCATTTTTATGATATTGAAATTCAGAGACATTTGACCACTTTTTATAATAAATAAATTGTAATAAAATAAGTTATAAAATAAAAAAATTTCACATGGTAAAATAGTAACAAAGTGTAAATGGAGTTTTTTTTTTTTTATAATTTTTTATAATTATTTTTAGAAAATTATATTTTTAATTTTTAAAAATTTCTTCGTTGTATTTTTTTTAGCAATAATTTATTTGTTAAAAAAATCATCTAAAATCTGGTTAATTAATTTTTATAAATAAATGGAATTAAAGTTAACAGATATTAGATCATTTTTAGGATTTTTTTAACAAATAAATTAATAAAAAAAAGTTATTTTTAAAAAATTGCATTTAAAAATTTTTAAAAATTTCTTCAGTTCTTTTTTTTTGCAATGATTTAATTTTTAAAAAAATTATCCAATATCTGCTAAATTAATTTTCTTAAATAAATAAAATTAAAGTTAGGTAGCAGATATTTGATAATTTTTTTTTTAACAAATAAATTTGTTCAAAAACATGATTTTTAAAAAATTGCATTTTTAATTTTTTTAAATTTCTTCATTTCAATTTTTTTTTTTTTAGAATAATTTATTTTATTAACAAACCCCAAAAATTATTAAATATCTACTAAATAAATTTTGATAAATAAATGACACTAAAGTTAGCAAATATTTGATAATTTTTTTTAACAAACAAATTTGTTCAAAAAAAATGATTTTTAAAAAATATCATTTTTAATTTCTTCATTTTTTTTCTTGGAATTAATAAATGAAATTAAAGTTAGCAAATATTTGATAATTTTTTAACAAAAAAATTGCATTTTTAATTTTTCAAAAATTTCTTAATTTCACTTTTTTGCAACAGTTTATTTATTAAAAAGATCAAATATTTGCTAAATTAATTTCCATGTCAAATAAAATCCAATACTATTAAAATATCTCCTAATTAAAATATCTCAGACATGTAATTAAAAAAAAAAAAAATTATATCAAACCTACCAGGTATATTCGACTGCTCGATCATAGAGACCGTCGAAACAATATCCAAAGTCTGCGGCCTAACCGGCCGATCAACCGACTCCTGATCTTCAGAAACCGCTGGCTCACCATTAGGTTCTTCTCCTTCACCATCTCCAGAATTTCCTTCAATTGTACTTGAATTATTATCAATAGAACTACTATCTTGGTGTTCATTAACAGTCTTAGTTGATTCATTAATTTCATTAATTTCATTAATTATTGCTTTGTTTTGAGGTAATACAGTGTCGTTAGATATATCTTCTACTTTCTCAGCAGAATCATCTTGAATTTTATTATAACCACTAGAATTAAAATTACTATTACTACCAACTGAATCCTCACTAAAACCATTCTCGGGGTTTAATTCTTGCGGTACACTCTCAAGAGTATCCGAAGACTTTCTTACAGTCTCGCCAGTTTTTTTAATCTTTCTTTCCTTCTCTGCAACTATTTTTACCGGCTCGTGGTGGAGCTTTTCGGGGTCGTCTAAAAAATCACTCGATTCTCCGCTGGTGCTACTCTTGCTGTAATCTATCACGGGAAATTTTTTGGCTTTTTCTTGGAGCTTTTCCTCGGAAACTTCCGGTAATTCTCCGATAGTGACACTTTCAAAAATAGGAGCTTCGTTGGCGTCTTCATCGTCATTAGAAGAAGCTGCTGCTCTAGAACTAGCACTAGCATTAATATTAGCATAAATCGCAGAAGATCTGGGCACTGATATATTTTCATAAGCAGCTTCACTAGCGCGTTCTTCAGCTTCCAGCTCAGCTAAATATTTATTTAATTCCTCTTCTGATAAATCATCAATTGTGCTAAACCCTACGGGCTTTCTTTCTGGAGCTGAAGCTCCAGAAATAGATCCGGATCCAGAAGGATTTAAATTGACATTTTGAAATACAAGCTTCGTAGGATTGATACCGCCTGTTGCTAAAGTGTCCTCTTTTTTATTACTTAAATTAAATTGTTCATTTAGTCGCTTTGCTGCGATCTCCAGCTCGGTCGTTGTCTCCGGCAAGTCACTGCCTCCTATGTACAAACGCTCGTAAGCTCCCTCATCTTGAGAATTAGGCTTGTCAAAATCTACGTTCTCGTAAACATGCTTGCTTTCATCTTGACTGGTAGATCTTGAGGTCTCTTTTGACCTCACTATTACTTCTGAATTATTGGGAATGTTTCCGTCAATGTTTATGTTTATGTCCACGTTCTCGTAAATGTGCTTCGTGCAATCGACGGTACCTCTACTGTCAATCTTTAATGGTTGTACGGGTTGTAAGGGTTTTGAAGCTTCGGCTTCGGGGATTATTTCTTCTTTTACTCTACTCTTCTCTTCTTCTGGCTTTTTTATATCGCATTTAACTGGCAATAATATATTTTGATACTCTGGTAAAGATGTCGTTGGTTTTCTCACAGGTTCTCCAGCTAGAAAAAAAAATTATATTTATAGTTAAGAGAACAAGGAAAATTTTGTGGGTGTATTATATATGATAAAATGAATTTTTTTTTCAATTTAATTTTGTATTAGGTCTAGACCTGAATTTGTGTCTTTTTGGGGTTTCATATGCTTTTCAGTAATAGATCATTTATTATGAGTTTTTGAAGTAGTTATAAGGAGATTAGATATTCAAGATAAACAACATTTTTTTAGTTATTTTGTTTTGTACATGCTTCATTAAATAATGACTTTTGTTAAATTGCACTGTATTTTCTTAACTATTGACATTTTTAAAGATATAAGCTTATCTTGATGTTACACTCATCAAAAGCTTTCATTTGAATACCCACATGCATTTTTGATATATTTTTCATATATATATATATATATATATATATATATATATA